ATAAACACTGATTTGCTAAGAGTCAAATCCCACTATTTCACAAACTAAATGTTTTAGGGTAATAATTTTAACGTCCATCTGACAGATATATAGTGGTTTAAGACTTATTTTGTTCTAGGGATATAGCTCAGTGATAAAGTACTTGCCTAGTGTGTGTGAATTCCTGGGTTTCCTTTTAAGCACAATTCCTACTCTAGAATTCAGATATATATCCTATATCTGTTCAGTATACAAGAAAAATTTTGTCAAATTATTCTCTAATTAAAATATTGTTCTTTATAATATTATTTCTTCTAAATTCACATAGTAAAACTTCATTTAAAAAGTGCAATAACCTAATAATTTATCAAAACATCAAAATTGGAGTTATTGTCCAAGTAAATGATGGGAACAAATAACCTAATTACCTAGCTCAGATGTGAAAGCTGATACCTTCCTTGATAATTACAAATTGATTTGTGCATGTAAGGTGATACATCTTTAGCCCTGAACTCTTAGATTTGAAAACATGGATAGCATGTAAAAAAGTTATAAAAGTATACATTTTTAAAAGTTACATGAAGTCCTTCTAATTAAGCGTGGGTGAAGATAGAGTAGAGCATTTAGAACAACCAGCTCTTTATACAAAATGACAGAAATATGATTTTGCTTAAAATTCAACATTTTTTTTCCTATAAAAGAAGCATTTAATGATAGTCTAAAATACTAAAGATGTTGAAAATATTGTTTAATGGAAATGTTATGATCTTAAAAGTTTTTAACTTTCTACTTGATACACAAATAAACTTGTTATTCGGAATTAAAATATTTCAATATTGCTATTGTTTTCCCCATATCATGTATCATTCTAAAAGTTAACTTCTAAAATATAGAAAAATTTAAATTTCTAGCTCAAGCTTACAATACTAGGGTGAGAGAATTGTGACAAATAGGACAATTTTTTTATGTTTACTCCCTAGTACAGCCTGTTATTCACTGCTGTAACCATAAAAAATTAATATCACAGTATGATGCTGGGGAGGTTTTTCTATTTAATCACTTCATTGAATTTTATTATAATGATTATTTAGACAACGGTGATGTCTTTAACCTATCCTTGGGTTGTACTAATAATTATTATGTTAATTTAAAATATGTTCATTGGTCAGAAAAAAACTATTTTCAATCTAAAATATCTGGGTCTTAGGATGATTCAAGATATTTTTAAGAGGAGTTAAACTGCAAGGATTTTGCATATTGTGAAGAAAATATGAAAGAATTACTGAGTCACAAAGAAGTTACAGTCATATAAATTTGTTTTCAGGGCTTATTTCAATTATTTTAAATTTCTTTTAATAATTTTACAATTCTGAGACTTTCTCTGTGACACAGTAATCCTTGCATATTTTTTTTCAGAAAATGCAAAATCCTTGCAATTTAACTACTCTTAAAAATGATTGGCAAAAACTTTAAATAAACTTTGTTTCATATTCCTAGCAGCTTTCTTTATAACTTCAAATGTTCTTATAAAATACTAATGTCTTTGACATGATTCTTTAGTCCCTTTCAATTGCAAAGATATGTTAAATCTACAACATGAAAATTTCATTAATCAAATTATTTCACAACTATTTTAAGCTAACCACAAATGTGGCACATGTCTCCTTTCCTAAAGGTGCTTAAGTCCTTGAGTATCACGCAGAGAGTTCTATTTTCAAATACAGTTTGTCCTGATGAGGAAATTCAGGACACACTGGCAATCTACTTGTTACCCTAGGAAGACAAAATCTACCTCAGTACTGGCTGGAACTCCACTTCAAAGCAGATCTGTTAGATGGGTTCTGGACTCCTCCCAGGCCCCTCTTGCTGAGCTGTCTGACAATAGCAAATCCCAACTCTGGGGAAGACACCTTCTTCAGAATGATTTTGACAAACATTTTTGTCCCTAAGGTTAACTAATAAATTAAAGATTTTCAGTAAATACCACATTTTTGTCAAAAAGCCAAGAGAGTCTACAGAATCTTTTTGTCTAAGAAAATTTTATCTGCCACACCCTTGGTATGTTTCCAGTGATAAGTGTGAAACTACAAAACCTAACCAATGATAAGAGGAAGGCACCACACCATCTCAAGAGCATGGTACCTCTTGTGTTATGAAATGGAAGTGTGCCTTCAGATGTGTAGACCATCCCGGAAGCAGCAGATAACTTACTATGCCTGCAAGGAGGGACAGGAACTGGAAGGCTGGAAAGCAGGAAAAGGGAACATATCTTTTCACTGTATTCCCTTTGAGAGTACTTGCTTTTGTTTTCCTCTGAGTGCCAGCATTAAGGAAGAAAAAAAAAAAAGAAAACATTCCTGAGAAATACATTTCCTGTGAAATCCAATTTAATTGACAGTATTTAAGAATCTACTAAATCTAAATTTTCATTCACAATTTTGGACAGACAATAATCTGATAAAATCAACTTGATAAAAAGCTTCTATGAAGTATAATCAAATTATTTTGTGTCTTTAAATATACAAATATATTCTCCAGAATCTATTTTCAAAACCATCTGTATACATCCAACTAGTGTTTTCATCATGCCATGCAGGTATGCAATTTCAAGTGAGACACAAATAACTGATAGGCATAAATAGTGGCGATCAAAAAATTTTTCCCCCAGAACTGTTCACCTCTAGCAAAGGAGTACTATTTGGTTTATTTCTAAGCAGTCAAAAAGTGACTGTGCAGAGTTTCTTCAGATATGGTAAAGTACTTTTTAATTTAAAGATGGGAGCCTTTCAGATGTAAATGTACTTGTAATAGGACCCAACACAGTTAAAAACCGAGCAACAACTTGTACAAACACTTGTAAATGGCTGAAGTTCTATAAATAAAATGTGAAATAAAATGCATCGCCTGAAAACAGAGTAAATAATATTCATCTGGAAAAATAATTGAAATACTTTTTCAATTAGGACAATAAATCAACATAGAGATTGTGACAATGGCTTCATGTTTGAAGTATGTTTGAATTTGAAAAGTAAAATATAATGGTTCACTACTTTTATTTGTGTTTGAGGAAAGTTTAAAATTGCTTTCTACTATTTTAAGTTAATAAATACAAGTAAACAATGCAATTTTTTTAAAAAAAAGACAAACTGGAGTTTTGAGAAGGATCCCAGTAATCGCTTAAATACACACATAAGAAGACTTTGTGTATTCTTAATTTAGGAAAAATACACAATTTCAGTGCAGGTGAGGATGAAGATCTAAAAGACCCAGAAAGTAGTATCATGTCAAAACTGTGACATTATTTTGCTGTCAATAACTGATATCCATAAACAACTCATGTAATTAATTTTATTCTTTCATATGTATTTTAAAATATCACTCTAAATACTCATCTAGTTGTCACTTTCTTCCCATGGGTGACCATCTGGCTTTTTCTCCTGTAGAAAAGGCAGATTCTTTGCAAAAACTACACTGGAATCAACAAAACAATTATTAAAACAATGAGACAAAACCACATTCCAACCACAGAAATGAAACTAAACAGAAAAAGGAATATGTAACACTGTTCTTCCCTTCGTGACATGCTGTCAGGCTAAACTTTCATAGTTTTCACACATCCTCTTATTTTTAAAAAACACAATAAAATTTGGCTGAATAAATCATTCTTATCTTCCTTCTACTCGTTTCCAAAAAACTTTTTTTCCAAAAAATTGTGTCATTTCCTTGTCATCATTATAATTTTTTAAGTTGCAAGACTGTTTTCAAAATTTAGTCAATACGCTCTGCACACTTCTTTTGTTTAATTCTTTGTCTCAGTATTTGGTAGAGAATTCAAATTGTGTAAGTTCTTCTTTGCCATGCAGGTAAATTTACAAAGAAAAAAAAAGAAAGAAAGTTTTCCTTTTAAATCAGGTTATGGCTTTGTATTTTTCAAGACAAACTATCATTTTCACGTGATTTCTACATCCACTTTCCTATCTCTTGAACAGACTTTTCCCAACAATAACAACAACAACAAAAAGACCTACCGCAAACAACTAGAAATATTTGAGATTTTGGCTCTTTAAATCTTTTCGATCAGAGTAATGACAATAAATTCTAAATCAGAGGTAGGGGGAGAGAACACAAAGGGAAAGGTAACAGTAAAGAATTTTACAGGTGTAAATTGAACATGAAACATTTTAGCGAATAAAAATAAAAATTTATCTTCTTTTCCCTTGTTCAACTGCCATGCCCACAGAGTAAAAACAGAATACTTACAAGTTAGCATCTGTGTATTTGTTAGTGTCTGTGTGTGTTTTCTCTTCTCTGGATTGGGATACTTTGAGCTAATTTGGTGGTGTCCGTTGGGTGGCCCACAAAATGATGCTTAAAGATCTAAAGATGCATAAATTAGGAAGCCCTACAATGGCAGAGGACTGGCATTGTAACTCTTCTCTTTATGCGCTCTTATGGTGCGACCCAAGAGCCTTTTTTTTTTTTTTTTTTTTACCACTTTAGATGATGGAACCTTGAGGGGCTGGTAGCTGGAGAGGACCGGGCGAGTCCTGAAAAGCCACCCCTCCCTGCTTTAACAGCATGCTGCCCCCTCCCAGTTATCCTGGACGTTGCTTCTAAGTCACTTCAGGAGAACTCCGGTCGGGATGCGGGCAAGCGCTACATCCAGGCTGACACCGGCCTCCGGGCGCTACTCCCGGTGCTACGGGGCCGGGTGCCCGGCGTGGACAAGGCGAGAGGATGGAGAAGACACGGGATGTGTGTTGGGGGGGGTCTTTCCAGGAGTACTGCTGCCCCCCTTACCTTTGCTGGCTCCGTTATGTGGGGGGAGAGAAAGATGTCAATGACCATTGTTTGCCTGTTCTGGATGTTGCTCCGCCCCCCTAGTCTGTCGTAAACCTGGCGCTGGACTAAAACCCAGCTCCGCAGCCGGGACCGCACCGCGCAGAGGTGGCGGCGACGAACGGCGCCGCGTCCCGCCCGCCCGCGCGCCCCCGGGCCCCCACCTGGCCGCCCGCCGAGCCATGTCGTTGAGCCCCAAGCACACGACGCCCTTCTCCGTGTCCGACATCCTGAGCCCCATCGAGGAGACCTACAAGAAGTTCGGCGGCACCATGGACGGCGCGCCGCCCGGGCTGGGGGCGCCCCTGGGGGCCGCGGCCGCTGCCTACCGCGCGCCGCCGTCCGGGCCAGCCCCGCAGACGGGGATGCAGGCGCCGCATGCCGTCGCCGGGCACAACGCGGCGGCGGCGGCGGCCGCGGCGGCGGCGGCGGCCGCAGCAGCGGCCGCCACCTACCACATGCCGGCGGGCGTCTCGCAGTTCCCTCACGGCGCCATGGGCGGCTACTGCAACGGCGGCCTGGGGAACATGGGAGAGCTGCCCAGCTACGCGGACAGCATGCGGGGCGGCGCGGCGGCCGCAGCAACCGGCTGGTACGGCGCCAACGCGGACCCGCGCTACTCCTCAAGTGAGCGGGGATGAGAGTGGGCGGGCCGGCTGCGCAGGTGTTTCCCGCCACAGCCGGAACGTAGGCGCGCGTGGGGTCTTGGGACACAGACCGGGGCGTGCGAGGGAGTCCTGGGACCCGACCTGGGGACCGCGAGAGGTCCTGGGACTCTGGGCGCCTCGGGCTTCCTGGGAAGGCACGGGGCTCGCGGGGGGCTCCTGGGACCCGGGCTGAGGCGCGCGGGGCCTGCTGGGGACCGGCCTGTTCGCGCCGTCGAGTCCGCCCTGCGTGTGGGGAGCCGGGCGGAGGGGGCGGCGGCGGCGGCGGCGGCGGCGGAGGCGGAGGCTCTGGCTCCCTCGGGCGGGCCGGGCGCTCACGGCCGCCCCTCGCCCTCTCCAGTCTCCAGGTTCATGGGTCCGTCGGCGGGCGTGAACGTGGCCGGCATGGGGTCACTGAGCGGCATCGCCGACGCCGCCAAGTCTCTGGGCCCACTGCACGCGGCGGCGGCGGCCCCGCGTAGAAAGCGGCGCGTGCTGTTCTCACAGGCGCAGGTGTACGAGCTGGAGCGGCGCTTCAAGCAGCAGAAGTACCTGTCAGCGCCCGAGCGCGAGCACCTGGCCAGTATGATCCACCTGACGCCCACACAGGTCAAGATCTGGTTCCAGAACCACCGCTACAAGATGAAGCGGCAAGCCAAGGACAAGGCGGCGCAGCAGCTGCAACAGGAGGCAGGCCTGGGGCCGCCGCCGCCGCCGCCGCCGCCGCCGCCGCCGCCTTCGCCGCGTCGCGTGGCCGTGCCCGTGCTGGTCAAGGACGGCAAGCCGTGCCAGAACGGCGCGGGGAGCGGGGCGCCAACGCCCGGCCCGCCGCCGCCGCCCACGCCCGAGCTCGAGGAGCTCTCGCCCAGCCCGCCCGCGCTGCACGGGCCCGCGGCCGGGATGGCGTTGGACACGGCCGCCGGGGACTACGGAGCGGGGGTGCTCGGCGCCAACCTGCTCTATGGCAGGACGTGGTGACCGCGCGGCGCCCCGGAACAGGGGCTGCGACCGGCGGCAGCCGACGGGGACACTGGATGTGCGGACGCTGACCGCGCTCGGCGATCGACTCCGAGAGCCCGGGCTCAGACTCCTGAGCTCTGGGCAGGGGACAGCGACTTCCCAGGACCCAGTGCTGCCACTGGGCTTCGCAGTGGCGATCTCCTCTTTCTATAAGTTCCTAAATTAAGCGAAACGCTGGCTGAGCGCATAGGCACAATGTTCCTAACCTGAGCGCTCGGAGTTTTAAAAGTTGGAAACTTTATTGGCGTTTGTAGCTCTAAAAATCAACCCAGCTTTAACAGTGAATCGTTTTTGACCCGAAATTGATCTTGGGAGATTGATTTTTGAAGGGGACCCCCTAAGTGCAATTTCATTAATGTTTCAAAGTAAATTGAATTGTAACTCGAGGTGGATCATAGGATCGTACACATAGCAACATTTATTGCAGAGGAATTATTGCCATTTAGGTAAAATAGAGCAATGGAATAAAAAAAGTTATATGGATCAATATAGCATTTTAAATTTAATACTGATTTTAAAAGATCTTCATAATTATTTGGCAACGGAGTGTTTGCATTATTCTAGAAGAGTCCCCCCTCCCCCCAAGGCAAAGCTCATCATAGAAAGGGTTGTACTTTTTATATGGAATCTGGTTTCTCCATATCTACTGATAAAATACACCCAGTCGTTCTACAGATATGGTACTGACTCTTTTAAAGGTATTTTTGTCCGAATTTGAAGCAAGTAAAATTGCTAAAATTGACATCAATCGATATTTCAAAGCATGTGAAGAAAGAATAAGATGATTTAAGGTGAACTGTAATAAGGTGAATTGTAATCAAGATAAGAGTAACCAAAATATTTATAATTTTCCATCATGTTTAGAACTTAATAGTAGTTGCACCGATTTTGTTGGTGTTTTATTGTATAAATAATGTATTTACTCTTTACTATGCCAATTTATATTTCCTATGTTTCAGATGAATATTTAAATATAACTTAAAAGAACCTTAAGTACTTTTTCATAAAAGTCAAGTGGTCATTTCTTTTTCATTAAGTGTATAGAGGTTTGTGATTTTTTTTTTTGAACACTAGTTGGTATGATGTGACAACCTAGCCAAGTTTACTCATGATTTAAATAACTGGGAGTGGAGGGAAAAATATTAAGAGACAGCTGAATAATGTGTTTATAAAGTTAATGTAGTTAAATAAAATGGATAAACCACAATTTACAAATGCTGAAAACAAAGTTACCAGAGATCCCAAACCTCTTCTACATTAGAGGTTTCAGAGTAAGTTTGGGGCTGAAATATTTCGTTTCATTTCATTGTTTGAAAATTTTTCTCAATGTGCACAGTGAATCCATAGGAAAGTGTTATAGACATTAAACTTGCACTTTCTCTAAACTATTTTATAAAGCAAATGGTCTCTTTTTCTTTAAACTCCATTCCTTTCACAGAGGTAGAAAAAGAAGCAAAGAGACTATCTTTTATCAAGCTGTGAATGCATTTTTGGAAAATGAGATTTAATTTTAAACATTTTACATGATTTCAGCAGACAAACTAGTATTAAAATGATACAATAAACCTATAGAAAAATCTTCCACCTTGGGCTTTTGCATTTTAATGGACTGACTTGAGAAAGAAATGTTAACCAAGATAGCAAAACTATAATTGATATGTCAGAGTTTAAAATGCTTGTTTATAGCAGATCCTATATTAATTTTAGAAAACATGTTCTAATTTGCAATTTGTTTTTATTTTTTACTTACAAGACCAATAATGGCTTTTGGCCCAAGGACTCACAGTAATATATTTAAGGAAAATGAGTCTTCATGGACAGTTTTTTCTTGATAATTTATTTCTAGTCCAAAGAATCCCTTAAACTGATGAACTATGTAAAAAACATCATCAAGAAAAACATTTTTATTCAGTATTTTCTGCAAGTGTGCTTAGTGTAACTATTTTTTTTTTTCCATTCAGCATTGCTTTAAAGTAGTAAAAGACCCAAACAGAAGTAATTTCTGAGAAGGCTTAACATTTTACCCCCACAGACTATGTTTATGTGTACTTTGCCTGAAATTAGGAAAAGGTTTGATTCCTGAAACAGTAAAAGAAAATTTTTTACTACAGAATTCTGTCTTGTGATTAACGAAGAGCAAGAGCTTTTTTTTCTTCTTTTGCAGTTAGTGCCTTGCAGATCTTTTATAAAAACACAAACGGCCAGACTAGGTGAAACTCATTAACTGAAGAGGGGGATAAGTGTCTCCACATCCAAGAGGGAAGACTGATGCAGGGTCTGAGAGGGACAAAGCCCCCTTAAAGTTTAGCAGAGACCACAGCAAACCTTGATTTCAGAATTGCTAACTCTGCACATGTGACATTCTTCTGTCTATTTTGAGGTCTAACTTATCTTTTCCCATTGAAGATTGGAAACCAAAACCCAGAATCAAAGTTGCAGAGAGGACCAGCAGGACCGCAGGTACTTTCTATAATCTGCATTGGGATGTAAATTGAAGTGTCTGTGTGTGAGTGAGTGTGCAATTTTGAAGGACACAAGAAGGGTGTTTTGTATATGGAAGGGTGAGGGTATAGCCCAGTTATCTTCTATTTAAGGCTTTGCTTAGAACCACAGCCTAAAGGTCAGAACAAGTAGTCAATCAGACTTCTATCAACACAGATGTTGTGTTCAAACTCTATTCTGCTAGCAACTGTTTACTTTGAATTTAAAGCAAATCAGAGACTCAGTCCTGCTCACTGAATGCAAGCACCTTCCATAGACTTGCTTTGTTAATGCACTGAATAGAGATGATTTAGAAAGACTTAAATTTGTGAACCATAAAGATGTAGCAACAAGATTTTTAGACAGGAGTTTGGGCATATGAGAAAATAATGCATTATGTGGTGACAACATAAATTTCAGATGCAATTCCAAGCATGGATGTGTTCTCCATTGTTAATATGACACCAACGGTATGTGGCTGGAACCCTGTATGTTAATTATTTGGGTCTAGTTTTTTGAAATGGTTACTTGCTATCCCAACCCAGTGAGACAGGGGACAGGATATGTTATAAAACATAAGTAACACTTTATTGCTAGTAAGCATTTGTGAGCATCTGGGAAGTGTCCAGAAGATGTCCAGACGGACCAGCATCCACATCCTGTCAGGAATGCACTCTCCAGTAAGTACTGATACCACTCTGTGATTTCAAGATCACTTTTTTTTTAAGTTTAGAGATAATTGAAGTTTTTGGAAGTTTTTAGGGTTTTGTTTTTGCTTTAAAACGTTTACCTACATGTGAATGAAATGCTTTTTAAAAAATTCAGTCTTTGTTTAGGTGAGTTCTAATAACATTTTAACTACCAGTGTTGCCTAAATTAAAGTTATGCAGACTATTCTGCAGTAGCAAACTGCTCTAGTTCTTTCACACAAATTAGAGCATGCTCTCCCTTGATCTTCATTCTCTAAATATGGTATAAGGAAACAAGCCTCGAGTGTTCGATTTAACCCTGAGTGGAGGAAACTTGGCCTGTTTGTTACTTTACTCCTTCATTGATCTTCTCTGGACTCAGTCTGGTGGGATCTCAGTTCCCTGACCTTTTTGGGGGAGGAGGTATCTGTAGATTGGGAGACAGCTAGAAAGCCATGCTGCGATCTGGGAAAGGGGAGAAATTGGCTTCAGGGAATATTCAGATTTTAGATTTCTAAGTATAGCTGAATTTGGTTATAGGCAGACTTTGACCCTTATGAGCAGCTACCTCGGAGGAAAAACCATTTCTGTTATTTTCTACAGGTTTGCACTTGCAGTTGAAGAGGGCTGAGTCAGCGACACTAGGCAGGTTGAGAAGCTGCAGCACCGCGCAAAGGAGCAAAGGACTGCGGCCACCACAACCTGAGGGTCGAGTAGTGCCCCATGGACCCCCCGCTGGGGAGGGGCTGGGCCAGCTATCCAGCTGCGACCGACAGAGCAACAGTGCAGAGGCCCCTGCAAAACCCAAGGCCACTGGGCCCCAATCCCACCCCGTCCATTCCGCGTCACCCAGTTGTCTTCGTAACGCTAAGTGACAGTCGAATACCAGTGTGCAGCCGGCTTTGGCTTTGTACTTCCACACTACTCTGTTTGCTCTCCAATGGGAGGACAGCTGCTCATTACAGCCTGTTTTCAGGTTCTAAGATTTTTAAAAATCTTTGATGTGGGGCCCTGAAAAAAATGTGCCCTAGTACAATGACGTGAAACTGGCCCGTTGACTTTGACCCTGGACTTTTGAGAAAACATTTATAGCAGTAAATATCCTACCTTAAAGTTCTAAAAATAATTTTGCTTGAAACAAGAGGGCTCGTTTTTCTGTAGATGCCACCATAGGACCAGTTGCTGAGCTGGGGAATCAGGAAGCAAGAGCCAAGGCTTTGGCACGGCCTGGGGGAGGGGTCTGGGCACGCCCATCTTGTCCTGCACACGGAGCCTTCCCCAGACCTCTTGCTTCCACGTCTCAAAACATTTTTGATTTTTATTAGTCCATGTTTGCAGTAAAAATTACATTCATCATGGGGAGTTGGTACATGTACATGACATCTTAATTCCTTTTACCTCTCATTTGGAAGACCTGTCTTCCTGTGAAGACTTTAAACATATAGTCAAAAGCTGAATCAGAGAATCTCACGGAGGCTTAAAATAAAATTAAACCAAAACTAAAGGTCTAGGAAAATATAAAGGGTGGCAGTGTTGGTCTTGGGTACCCCAATAGTAAGATACTCTGGGGCTCCGTTCAAATATTTAGTGCTTTACAGAGCTGTACATTTTAAATATTGAGATGTATTAGAGAAATCTAACAGCAGAAGGCATTATCACATTACTGCAGAGTGAAAGTAATACATAATGGTGTGTTGGCAATTCCTAATGAAGGTGCTCTGTCTCAGAAATAAAAGGCTCCTGTTCTATTCGCTCATCACTAGCAATGAACTCAATAGCTTCAAAATAACCTTCCTATTCAAGCTGAAGGTGGGATTCTTTTTACCCATATAAATAAAGATGAACAAATGTGCTTAAGGTGAATATTAATGCAAAAATATCTTAAATCAGAAGGTCAAAGAAGTATCTTACAATCTTAGGCCAGGATGGGAAGATTGAAACAAAGCAGGTCTTCATATGTGGTCTTAAGTATTTTTTGGTAGTAAAATGAAAATACACATAAGAGGTGCTGTATGTAAATTCCAAACACACACTTAAGGAATATAATGCACTGAATAGCAAGGAAAAACAAATAGAAATCTATGAACTAACATTTTAAAATACTAAGGAGTATAGAAAATTAAGCTGTGAATTAAAATTTTCAAGTTTTTAAAAAGATTTTAGCACAAGTCCTTAAAACTGGAACATATCTGTGTGAAATTTATAAAAATGTAAATAACTTATTCTAAGACTTTATAACAATGTATTAATAAAATACAGTCTTGCTGACTGTATCCTCTTGAAATTTTGACTTAGCTGGGCATGGTGGCACACTCCTGTAATCTCAGCATGCTGGGAAGCCGAGGCAGGAGGCCTGCAAGTTTGAGCCCAACCTGGGTAATTTAGCAAGACCTTGTATCCAAAATGATGATGATGTTGATGATGATAAACAGAAAGGACCAAGGATGGATGTAGCCTAGTGTGAAGGCTCTGGGTTTAATCCCCAGTATGGAAAAGGGGGAGTTGCTGCACCTTCTCTATGTCTTCACTGACTTGCTTGTGACATCTAAACGCAGAAACAAATTGTTTCTGCAAAAGCTAACATGTTCAGTCAAGATTTTCAAAGCTGAAATAGTGTAAAATAACACGAGACCAGAACTTTTAAAGTTTAACTTTATTTTTTTATTAAAGTCCAGAAATTTCTGTAAGACAAGTACATTAATGAACTGTTTCCAAAGAACAATATATACTCTAGTTTGCTGAGGGTTCCAGCTCAAAGAGCTCATACCTAATTCCTGTGCACTAAAAATCAGCATGGATCTTAGATGATCTAGAATACACTGTGTTTTGAAGTCCACAGCTGGTTTGATTTTTAACGATAATGAAAAACCAGTACTAATTCCATCAAATATGTTTTACAAGCAATTATAAATTCAGATCCACTGTATTATACAACACACGTCTTTGGAAAGCAACATAAAACAGATCAGATCAGTAGAAATATACAGTTAAAAGAAATACACAAAGTACTGTAGTTTTATTAAAAACTACTACTTGGGAAAAAAAATCTCCTTTCCACAAATAGCATAAAACTGTAGAATGATGAAAGGATTTGGGAAAGCTTTACAAAAGCTTAATTCCAACTGTATCTTCCTGAGGGTGGTGGCAAAGGGTATTTTCTTCCTTCTCTGGGATATCCCTAAAAATAAAAACAAAGTGTTTATTTTGTGGATTAAAACTCTTGCAAAGAAATTATTTTACATCTTTGTAGAAAAATATAAAGAAGCTAAGTATGTCTTAAGGTACAAGGGCAGTCTCTATAAGCAGGTTCTTGGAATCCAGAGCTTTAACATAAAGCTTATTGCAGAGCTGGATAGTAGCCCAATGGTTATCACTGAAAACTAACCAAACAAGCCTTCTTCAGACCAAAGAAATTCCCTAAAACACACAGAAATGAACAGAGAAATGCTTTATGTAAACAACATGTACAGACAGTAGCTCTCAATTTTCCCAACATCTCAAACAGTAATTCAAGTCACTTGGTTGGTAGGAGTTATTTTGTTAGAGCCTACTGAGTCAGCTAAGGCCTATTAGGCAATTAATTTTTTTCTGCTTTAGTGATAAACAGAACATTAATAATAAAATTAAGGTTATTAGATAAGCAGTGACTTGTATAACATATCCTCATATGTTTGTAACATTTCTGTATATTACAAGGTAAATGTGACAACCCTTCCATGGTAAGCTCCCATCTAGGGATTAGAGGTATAGCTTACCAGCACAGTGCTGGCAGCGCATTTGAAGCCCGAGGTTCTATATCCAGCACCACAGTACCGTTAATAGAAAAGAGTTCCTTCTTTGGAGTACTGCAGTGGAACCCAGGGCCTTAGGCATGTTAAGCAAATCCTCTAGTCCTGACCTAAAAGCCCAGGCCAGCAGAGTTCCCTGAAATGAAAGTTTCTTGACCAAAGGCAGGAAGATGACCTGTCCGGCAGTCCAAGCAGCCAGTCTTCCAGCTCTGCTGCCACACTGTCAGGGTCTTAGTTCCTGACTTGGAAAATGAGGTGATCAGACTTAACATTCTCCAAGGTTTCCGCTAGTTAGGTATTCATTTCAGAAATGCCCATATTTAAATTATTTAGTACCACCTAGACTAGCAGCACAGACAGCCTCAAGTTATTGATGTAACTTTTAGAGGTCTTGGGTTGAAAGAATTCAAAGTAAAATGCTATGAACTGATTTTATGACACAATACTCTCAATAAGTATTAATATTTGCAATTAAAGTGACTTTTTAAATGAAAGGTTAAGACTTGTGAGAATACATCAAAAAGCATAAAAAATGATTTTCCTTAGCTGTCAGAAGAAAACTCTTACATTAAAAGGGATACATGGCAAGAACCCAAGTAGAAAATTAATATGTAAAGCACTGCAGAAGGCCTGTGGGCAACATCAGGTAAGCAATTTACAAACCACTCCACTGCCCGGTGGGAGCACATACTCTGAATCACAGCTTTCCAATCCTGTTTTCTAGCAAGGATTTGATCAAAGAGCACGTAAATATTGGCCATGGTGTCAAACTGCCTGGGGAAATTATGTTAAACTGACCTCAGCCTTAAATGTTGCTAAAACTGGATGGAGTCAAGAGAAGAATATTATGCTTTCATCTACTCAAGTTGTCTATGAACTGTGATACTCATTCAGTGACATGGCTAGTGCCATTTAGTAGAAAAATATGTGGAAAATCTTCTTTCCAAGTGGAGGGATATCACTGATAAGTCAAGACCAGAGACTTACAGGATGAATAAAGACAAGAGCTGAACTGGAAGACTCTTTCAGCTTCCAAAAAATTCTCATGTGTTATAAAAGACCTAATTTCTGTTAAAGCACAGTACCCATAAAGGGAAAACAATGTGTTTTAATGACTGTCTTTTCTTAGTGTTAATTATCACTGACTACTGTGATTAAAAAGGTTTCTGGACTGGGACTTCTCTAGTACCTTCAGGGAATAAGTCTGGGGAGGCAGGTACTATACTTACATACATGTTTAATCACAGACACACGTTCAGCTGAGATACTCTACTGACATGTTCTCCAGAAATACTGGTAAAAAAAAATGCTGAGTCCTGCAAGGCATGTTGAAATACAAAAGTCAGCAGTATGCTTTTCGGCCACGGCCCACACTGCATTACCTGTCTTCCTCCACGATCATCTCGCCGGGGCGGATACCCACCCGGCCCAGCTAGCATCTGGTACTGGTTTGGCTGGAAAGCTGCATTTTGGGTTTGGAGCATCCGGTTCCATGGCAGCAGAGGCTCTGCCCCAACACCTCTGTGGAAAGGGACCAAGTGTGTATTAGAAATCAAGCTTATTACACAGCACGAAGACGAGGAGTGGAAGACAATCATCTCCAAGTTTCAGGGCAATCTGATATGCCTAAATCTGCCTCATGGGATATACAGTTTCGGGAAGACCTTCATGTCTCTTCTATCTGGTGTAATCAAATGTATTTCATGAGGTTATCTGTATTTATTAAAAAAGATGTTCAAATTCAACTGAATCCGATTTGACTTTTAAAAATAGTTTGTTCTTTTTCAATTGTGAAATTGCCTTTTAAGTCATTTGAAGATTGGGATCCAAGATCACCAAGTTGGCTATATTTTTGATGCTATCCAAAGAGTACACATGTACAGGGTAAGAGAATGAGGCTTTATTTTTAAAAATGTCCAGACCTGTTCTTGGAATCCATTCTTTCTAGTTAATTGCAGGTTGCAAATGAATTCTTACTGCTGAGTATTTTGAATCCAGGGTAGGGGACTTGGCTGCTTTTTCCCATCCATTATTCTGCTCAATATGTCAGAAGGTCTGATTGGGAGGAAACCTTTTCAAGTTCTATTGATGCAGCTTTCAATTGACCACGGTGACCTAGCAACATGAGCACTAATTGGCATGGGCTGACTGGCATTTGGTGTACAGTTTACATGGGAACACAGATTCAACAGCTATTATAATCCACTTTGCTGTCCCAGATTACTAGTCAAAAGAAATGTTTTAATTGTCTTCAAGTGCCTATTTTAACTTTACAGATACACAACAACAGGTATAAGGTATTAAATCATAACTTAATTAAAAACTGTAACAATGTAGCAAAGATAAGCCTTCTAATGGCAATCACCATTTAAGGCATAACATTCTCCTTGAGTAACTTTACTCACTTTCGTTACAGGCCTCACTACAAAGAATAGAAGCAAAATTCTTTGTATACTTTAACATAAAAGTTTTGAGGCCACTGAGGATGTTAGGAAGAATGCAATACAATTTTAAATTTAATGAAGTTCTGCCTAGCTGGTATCAGCTGTTACCGTATCAGCATATGAATTTCACTTCTTAGGGAGGAGAACTCTCAGGAAAAAAAGCCTAATGTTGGACTCGTTGGGTAATGCATTCTCCTTCAAGCCCAAATTCATATTCTCTAGACTCCACTTTTTCCCTTGACTTGGAGCTTGTGTTAAAAAACAAAAACTCAACAACAAAAACATTACTTTTGTTTGATATTTCAAAGAGAACAGCTCTCTGAAGAACTCTAGAAAGTTTAGCCACTTTCCAGTGGCTAAAACTAGAGTGCTACCATAACTTGCTGTGATTAAAAATAAAATTCAAGGTCTGTATCTCAGACCTTGTTTAGGACTTAGTTACTCTTCAGGCTCATTATTAGTACAATTAGCTAGAATGCCTTATCTGCTTTACTAGAAACAGCCCTGTGTGCAGAGATGGAATG